CAAAGCTATTTTTTCTTGTGACTTCGTATTTATCTCTAGACATTCTAAAAAAAGAAAAAAAAAAGTTATAAACCTCAGGAGGCCAAGACGGGAGGATCACCTGAGGTCAGGGGTTTGAGACCAACCTGGCCAACATGGAGGAACCCTGTCACTACTAAAAATACAAAAATTGTCTCCTTGTATTGGCGTATGCCTGTGATCCCAGCTACTTGGGAGGCTGAGGCAGGAGAATCGTTTGAATCCTGGAGGTGGATGTTGCTATGAGCCACAATTGCACTACTGCACTCCAGCTTGGGTGACAGCGAGACTCCATTAAAAAAAAATGTTATAAATATTTGGACTAAAACTACAAAAAGTGAGGCCTCAGGTATCTCCAAGTAGAAGAGGGAGAAATTCTAAGCAAATGCAGGTATATCTTTGCTATCTTGAAAAAAATATAGATTGCTTTATTTTGTGGAGCCGTTCTTCGCTCAAATTGAAGGCAGAGTATTACAGAGTGTTATTTTAAATTTAAGCTGTCGAAATTTGTTTTTGAGTCCCTATTGTGTTCCAGGATTCTGGTATCTTTTGTGGAGACGGTCACAGAAATTCTTGGATGGTGTGACAGTAGCTGATAATGCAGAAAAGGCTGAAGTGAGTGATGATGAGAGATAACCGAGAAGGCTTCTAGAATAGGCGGGCCTAGGCAGTATGGGATTCAGGAGAGAAAGAGCTGGAAGGAGAGCAACTGGGGAGAAAATAGAGCCTCAGAGGAGCCTAGCCCATGCTCTTTTTTTTTTTTTTTGAGATGGAGTTTCTCTCTTGTCACCCAGACTAGAGTACAATGGCATGATCTCAGCTCGTGGCAACCTCTGCCTCCCGGGTTCAAGCAATTATCCTGCCTCAGCCTCTCCTGCCTCAGCCTCTCCTGCCTCAGCCTCTCGAGTAGCTGGGATTATAGGTACCCGCCACCACACGCAGTTAATTTCTGTATTTTCAGTAGAGACAGGGTTTTGCCGTGTTGGCCAGGCTGGTCTCGAACTCCTGACCTCAGGTGATCCACCTGCCTGCGCCTCCCAAAGTGCTAGGATTACAGGCGTGAGCCACTGCGCCCGGCCAGCCTATGCTCTTTTGGTGAGTATTTGGTTTTCACTTCACCTGTCCTCATATGCTTCCCCCAAAACCCATGAAGTGTCAGGGACCAGCTATTATGTGAAACATCTTGCTTAGAATGCTCTTAGGAATGTAGCAACACAGTCCATCTCCTTGAAGTAAATGGAGAAATTGCTTCCTTTGGTGTGTTCTAGCTTGTCTATTCAGAATTCACTTGGCACAGTGAATCAGAGAAGAATGACTGTCTTCATTCTTCCTTGGGGGATGAACTTGGCAGACAAGGCTGGTATGGATGGGCAATAATTAAATTGCCACGAATAGCATCTAATATAATTGAGACTAAGAACTTGTGCACATGTGCCCCAAACAAAGCACTGTCTCACACAGAGGATCCCTGGAGCCTTTGAACCCTTTCTTTACCATATTATGAGAAGCAGTATGTTAACATTAGAAAACATTTTGAATAGCTAAGAGTGGACAAATGCGTTGCAAGAAAGAAAAAAAGAGTCTCTTTCTGCCTAGCAATTTTGAAAGGCAAAAACTGATCGGCTTAATTTCTCACTTCTTTTTACACTTTTGAAGAAAATGAAATGGAAACATTTTACATAGGATTGAAGGAAAAAAGCAGGGTTTTACCTTTGCTCATTAAAAAGAGTATCTTTAAAAGCTTCATTTTTATGTTTTGCTAAGGACTGGGGGATGAGGAAGAGGCAATTCAGAAAATTCTAAAAGCAGTAAATGTAGGTACTTTCAAAATTTTAAACAGGGTTTGCCTTCTGTGTTTTTTAAGGTCAGCAGTGTTAACAGAGCACATTGCAATCACAGATAAATGGGTTCTTCGTCTCTTTCCTTTGTGTTGCCATAGAACTTTGAACTTCTGTTAGGGTTTCATCACACTCTGCTAATCTCCGTTTTGTTCATTGCCCCCTACTTTACACCGAGGCCTCTTTCCTCCTAGTTTATTCTTTGTTAATGAGGATTTTGGATGTTTTCAGCCCTGTTTCTAGTCAACACCTGGTCCAGGAATCTGTGTCCCTAGGATCGTCATTGAAGGACATCACTAGAGAAGATTGTTGTAGAGGTGTCAACATCTCTCTCTCTGTGTGCATTGTTTTGTGGAGTTTTTTTGTTTATTTTACAGAAATAAGCTCTCACTGTGTTGCCCAGGCTGGTCTCAAACTCTGAGGCTCAAGTGATCCTCTTGCCTCGGCCTCTCAAAGTGCTGGGCTTACAGACGTGAGCCACCACGCCCAGCCCGTGTGCGTTTTTTTTATAGCAGATAAGAATAATGTTTTCCTATAATTTCGGAAGTATATGGTTATATTACTATATAATGACTTTCAACTATAAAGAAGAAAGAAATGGGGCCGGGTGCAGTGACTCACGCCTGTAATCCCAACACTTTGGGAGGCTGAGGAGGGCAGATCACCTGAGGTTGGGAGTTCGAGACCAGCCTGACCAACATGAGAAACCCCATCTCTACCAAAAATGCAAAATTAGCTGGGCGTGGTGGTGCGTGCCTGTAATCCCAGCTACTTGGGAGACTGAGGCAGGAGAATTGCTTGAACCCGGGAGGCAGAGGTTGCAGTGAACTGTGATCGTGCCATTGCACTCCAGCCTGGGCAACAAGAGCAAAACTCCGTTTCAAAAAAAGAAAGAAAGAAAGAAATGGATTCATAGTATATATGGATTGACTGGAGTTCTAGGGGGTTTTGTTTAACTAACATCTCAAAAGTGATACACAGAAGACTTTTCTCTGAACACTGTACCTAAAGTAACATCCTTCCCCTAAATACACAAGATCATATTGTCCTATTTATTTTTCTTCTTGCATTTTTCATCATCAGAAATTATCTCATGTGTGTATATATATTATGATATAATATGTAGCGTATATATTTACTTTCTTATTGCTGTCTTTCCTTCTCTAGAATGTTAGATCCTTGAGGGCAGAAAATTTATTTCTAGCACATAGTAGGTGCTCATTGACTTAAAAAAAAATTAAAATGAAGCAGTCAATCATTTAGATCAGGGGTATCCAATCTTTTGGCTTCCCTAGGCCACATATGAGATACACTAACACGAATGATCACTGATGAGCTAAAAAACAAAAATTGCAAAAAAAATGATGTTTTAAGAGCGTTTATGAAGTTGTATTGGGCCGCAGGTTGGACAAGCTTGATTTAGAAGGTTGTGATGGCTTAGATGTCAAGTATTTGATTTGAAAATGATTGAAAAACAAATGATTAGTTAGTTGTAAGGTAATTTAGTTTGGTTACAGTGAGTTACTAGTTAAACCGAGATTAACAGTTTAATATGTGAATGGTCTAACAATTGTCTGGGGAAATGGGGACTTTAATATTTAAAATTATATTTTTTAGTATTTCTTATCTCTGAAATTATAATTATTTCTCCATTCATAATTCACTCAGTACATTTGCTAGAGTGCCTACTTGTACCGCCTGTATACTAGGGACACACAAATGAACAGGCTCTCTGTCCTATAAGGGCCTACCAGCTAAGCAGGGAGGCAGATGAGCCAGTGTAATCCAGGGTTCTCCGTGCTATCATGGGAGCAAATTCTTGGCACTGTGGGTGGGACTGCTAACCTGAAGTTGAAGTTTCAAGGTAGAGACATCTAAGTTGAGACTGAAGAAGTCAGAATTACCAGTTGGCAGAGGGTGTAGTGTGAGTCAGAAAAGGATAGAGGTGGGGGTAGATTTGGAGAAAGAGGACAAAAGAGGAAGTAACATATTGAGAGGATCTGGAGCCTTGGAGAGAAAGGGACGTGGCTTTGCATGGAAGGGAACGTAGATTGTTGGGGTGGAGACTGATATGAAATGCAGCTGGGAATGTGCAGAAGAGTCAAGATATGGAAAGATCTCTTGTGTGATCCACTGTGTCTGGAGGACATTGAAACTCACTGGAGGGCTTTAAACCCAGGAGGGACATGGCTAGAGTTTTAGGGTACGTGGAAGATTTGATATGTTTATGATGTATGACCCAGTGTCCACCCTACAGTCACCAGTTTCCACAGTTGCAAGAGGGGAGGGTATAGAAATGGCTCAGGACAAAGCCATTCCTATTAATATATTTTCTTAAAATTCCTGGAGGCATGCAGGTTACTGTATGACTTGATTGATTAAATAACACCTTATAAAGAATCAGGCCAGGGACGGTGGTTCATGCCTGTAATCCTAGTACTTTGGGAGGCCAAGGCGGGCAGATCACTTGGGGTCAGGGTTTGAGACCAGCCTGGCCCACATGATGAAACCCCGTCTCTACTAAAAATGCAAAAATTAACTGGGTGTGGTGGCATGCGCCTGTAGTTCCAGCTACTTGGGAGGCTGAGGCAGGAGACTTGCTTGAACCTAGGAGGTGGAGGTTGCAGTGACCTGAGATCATGCCACTGCACTACAGCCTGGGCAACAGAGCAAGACTCCATCTCAAAAAAAAAAAAAAAGAATTGGCCAGGCCAGCATGGTGGCTCAAGCCTATAATCCCAGCCCTTTTGGAGGCTGAGGTGGGTGGCCATCACTTGAGACCATGAGTTTGAGACCAGCCTGGCCAACATGGTGAGACCCCATCTCTACTAAAAATACAAAAAAATAGCCAGGTGTGGTGGCACACACCTATAATCCGAGCTACTGGGGAGGCTGAGGCAGGAGAATCGCTTGAACCCGAGAGGCAGAGATAGCAGTGAGCCAAGATTGTGCCACTGCACTCCAGCCTGGGTGACAGATTGAGATTCCATCTCAAAAAAATAAAATAAAAAGAATCGGCCAAAAGATGTTCCCTCTCATCTGTCTGACATTCCTGTTAAAAACAAACGAATAAATTAAGGATGTTCCCATCCTCTGTCACACCTTTTTTTAAGAATCTTTTCTCCATCTTATTTCTCATCTTAGAACAACAAGCTCACCCTCTTCCGCCAGCTACAGCAGATGACGTACAGCCTGATTGAGTGGCGGTCCCAGATCCTGTCTGGTACGCTCCCCAAGGACGAACTGGCAGAGCTCAAGAAGAAAGTCACAGCCAAAATTGATCATGGGAACAGGTAGGTAAACCAGGGATGACTTCTCACTGAAAACCTGGCAAACAGTGGGCACGTTCAAGCTAATGACGCTGTTTGCAGCAGACTTTTGATCTTAGAGTTGCCAAAGAATAATGCTTACTGCTCTCATTTTGTCTTTGAAGACATTTAATTTTGTTGAAAAAAATGTTACAATTCCCTCCATGGCCAGACTCCGGGATCTCTGATCCCATGGAGGTGACAGATGACCAGGAAAGATGAGGCTTGGATTGAGGCTGCTCCACTCCAAATGAAGAAAACAAAAACAAAAAACCTGGCTAGGCACAGTGGCTCACACCTATAATCCCAGTACTTTGCGAGGATGAGGCTTGAGGAACGCTTGAGCCCAGTAGTTTGAGACCAGCCCAGGTAACATAGCGAGGCCGCATCTCTTCAATAAATATTTGAAAATTGGCTGGGTGTGGTGGCGCACACCTGTCATCCCACCTACTCGGGAGGCTAAGGTAGGAGGATCACTTGAGCCTGGAGGTTCAAGGCTGCAGTGAGCCATGATTGCATGCCTACACTCCAGCCTGGGCAACAGAGTGAGTCCCTGTCTCACAAACTAAACTAAACTAAAAATACCCTGAAAATGACCAAGCCTCTGAAGTTGTCATTTTCAGATACTTGGGACTGTATCTATTTTTGTTCTTAATAGTGGATTCTAAATCAATACCAGACTGATTCTCTTTCTTTCTGTTCATCTCCCCCTAACCGGGACCATTGTCTACAGAGTATGAAAAGCAGACTTGCAGGAGTAGTAAAACATGTTTGTAGCCTGCTGATCATGTCTACAATCACCTCTACAGAGTTAATCACTTCATTAATCTTCTGATTAACTCAGGCACATATGCAGGCTCCAGATATCACTGCCTTCAGGAAAATGAGAAATTCAGTCATATATCCAAATTGATGGTGGCCTGAGATTTTTGCCTCCTGACCAGCTCTTTTTTAAAAGGCAGAAGTGGTTCCTTGGTTAGTTGTTATTGGTGACTCTTTTGGCATCTAGTTTCATTCTAAATTTCTTCAACTTGTGCATATGTGATTTTTTTCCTCCTCCTCTACCCTGCTTTTCCAATCTCAGAATTCTTGGATATCCCTCAGAGACCTATTAAAATACAGATCATTATCCCACTTATTTAAATGTCATAGACTGTGACAACTATATTCTGAAGTAGCTGAAGTGAACATGCCATGCAGGATTCAGATTCAACCAGTATTTAGGAAACACCTTCTATGGACATTTCATATCCATTGCTTGATTATAATCTTAAAACATAGGGTTGGGGTAGCTGTTACTATTTGCCTCTTATGGATAAAGAAACAGACCAAGTGAGCTTAAGTGATTTACTTCCCAGTGACATAGATAATAAGTGGAAAAGGTTCAATTTGAATCCAAGACACTTGTCACCATATCTAATGCTGCCTCCTTAGGGTTAAGAATTAATAGTACCCTCCCCTACTACTTGACCACCCAGAAGACCATATCCACAGAGGCTGCACTGCCAGGCTTGCGGTGTCAGAGGACTTATTAAAAGGCCAATTAAGCCAGGTGAGGTTACTCATGCCTGTAATCCCATCACTTTGGGAGGCTGAGGTGGGCAGATCACCAGAGGTCAGGAGTTCGAGACCAACCTGGCCAACATGACGAAAACCCATCTCTACTGAAAGTATAAAAATTAGCTGGGCATGGTGGCATATGTCTGTAATCCCAGCTACTTAGGAGGCTGAGGCACAAGAATCGCTGGACCTCAGGGAGATGGAGGTTGCAGTGAGCCAAGATCACGCCGCTGCACTCCAGCCTGGGTGACAGACTCCATCTCAAATAAATAAATAAATAAATGGCCAATTTGGTGGGATAAGGCAGCTCTCCATTGCACATAGAACACTTTTGTCATTTGGTGTGTTGCCATAACATTGGCCTGGAGGTCCTGTGATCTCTGGCACAGGATGTTCACACCCCACAAACAGCAGAACATGACTTCTTTCCCGTTCCAGCTCTTGGAAGTAGCTCAGGAAATGGAGCTGCTGTGTCAATGCCTTCCTGATCCAGTCTCTGAGCAGCCAGCATGGCCACCCATCATGAGTCTGGGTGGCCTGTGGGTCTGGCTGCCATGGAAAGGAACCTGCCAGATCAAATCAGTTGATGGAGATGCTGTAAAACAGGGAGGAGGGAGAGGAGGCATTTTTGCTTTCTTCCCAAAGACTTGGCACATTTCAGTGTTATCCCTGAGTAGTCTTGCTCTTTGGTGCCGGGAATGTATGCTGGATATTCGGATAGCAGTATCCTATTCCACCACAGTCCTCAACTTCTTGAGCCTAAGAAAATTTTTCTCTACTTCTGTGTGCACTTCGGGCACAAAAGCCTTGAGGGGAGGGATTGCACCCACGATATGGCCCTTGGTATTCCCAAGAACACGCAGAACTACAACTTCACTCACAGCCAGGTGTTTGTTTCTACCAGTTGCTGCAGTAAGAGCTGCTCACACTGCTATAAAGAAATACCTGAGACTGGGTAATTTATAAGAAAAGAGGTTTAATTGACTCATAGTTCTGCTGGCTGCACAGGCAGCATACCAGCTTCTGCCTTTGGGGAGGCCTCAGGAAACTTACAATCATAGCAGAAGGGGAAGCAGGCACATCTTACATGGCCAGAGCAGGAGCAAGAGAGATCAGCCAGATCTCATGAGAACTCTGTCACAAGAACAGCACCAAAGGGATGGTGTGAAACCGTTTATGAAGGATCCACCCCCATGATCCAGTCACCTCCCACCAGGCCCCACTTCCAACACTGGGGCGAATGTGAGATTTGGGTGGGAACATAAATCCAAACCATATCAAGAGCTAACATTTATGCTTAAGCTGAGAGCTTACTGTATGCTACATATTATATTAGGTGCCGTACATGCATTATCTTATTAAATTCTCACAACAGGGCCAGGTGCAATGGCTTATGCCTATAATCCCAGCACTTTGGGAGGCTGAAGTGGGAGGCTCACTTGAAGCCAGGAGTTCATGACTAACCTGGGTAACAGCGAGACCCCATGTCTACAATTTTTTTTTTTTTTTAAATTAGCTAAGCATGGTGATGTAAACCTGTAGTTCCAGCTACTTGGGAGGCTGAGACAGGGATTGCTTGAGGCCAGGAGTTTAAGGCTGTCTCTAAAAAAATAAAAATAAATAAATTCTCACAACAACCTCGAAGGGTGAGGAATATATACAGATGAAGAAACCAAAGTTTTGCAGAGTTGAGTAAATTCTCCAGGGTCATAATGGTAGCAAGTATTCAAGCCAAGATTCAAATCCTGGTCTAAATGACACCAGAGCCCATGCTCTGAGTATGAGATAGCAGCAAGCCAGGACTTACTTCACTCGTCTCCTTTATGACCATCTTGAATTAAGGAAAACAAGGCAAGCCCTCCAATAATTGTTTATTGGTCCTTCATAGCAATGTAATAGACAGTGAGACCACGCCCACTTTGTCTGTTTCTTTACTCATATCATGGAAATAATAACAATTACCTCCACCGTACCTCATGGCGTTATGATCTGTCAATGTATGTGAAGTGTATATAGGAGGTATGTATGTATGTGTGTATTTATTTATTGGTTCAGACAGGGTCTTGCTTTCTCACACAGGCTAGAGTGCAGTGGTGCAACGTTGGCTCATTGCAGCCTCAACTTCCTGGGCTCAAGCAGTCCTCACACCTCAGCCCCCCAAGTAGTTGGGACTACAGGCATGTGCCACTACACCTGGTTAATTTTTGTGTTTTTAGCAGAGATAGGGTTTCAACATGTTGCCCAGGCTGGTCTTGACCTCCTGGTCTCAAGTAATCCGCCTGCCTCGGCCTCCCAAAGTTCTAGGATTACAGATGTGAGCCACGGCTCCTGGCCAAAGGAGGTGTTTGTTAAACACAGGTTGAATCTTAATTTTGTATGCTGTATTTTCTTCATTTCATAGTTCCTCTTCATAATAACAGAAGATTACAGGCAAGAAGCATTGGCCAGAGGAATTTAGTCAGAATCAGTGCCAATTTTACTTTTCTCTTGAGGATCTATGGACCATATTTGCATATCCTTCTACGACTTTGGCTCACGTCATCTAGTGAGTTTTGTAACAGTGTTGAAAGGTGGCAGAAGCTGAAATGAGAAGAGTCAGTGAGCTGTGCTTCCCTTGGCTTGTCCAGCATCTCCCTTTCTAACTATGGATCCTCTGGGCTCCTTGATGAGGACTCCTCAGTAAAAAGTCTGCCCCTGGTGAGGAGAACCAGCTGACTACTCCTTTCTCTCCAGAATGCTGGGGTTAGATCTGGTGGTGCGAGATGACAACGGGAACATCCTAGACCCTGACGAAACCAGCACCGTTGCCCTCTTCAAGGCCCACGAGGTGGCCTCCAAAAGGATTGAGGAGAAGATCCAAGAAGAGAAGGTACAATTCTTCAAATGTGAAATTCTGCCCACTGAGTTTCCATTTTTGCCTTGATTTTTAATGAAAGAAAGGGAAATCATTGAGAACAAAACTACTTCTGTAGTTTGGTCCCCATTTTAAAAGTGAAACAGCAGAAAGGATGAGGCAGGTACATATATATATATATATATGTTCTGATATGGAAAGATCTCAAAGATACGTATTAAGTGAAAAGATCAGGATCCGTAACGGTGTATATAAAAATGCTGTTATTTGTGTTTCAAAAAAAATGTATGTAAATCTATGCTTGCATATACATAGACTAACTCTGAAATAATAGACAAGAAATAATTATTAATGGATGTCCTCTGGGAAGGAAAACTGGGTGGGAGGGAGACTTTTTAAATGTGTAATCTCTTGCATTCATTGCATATATTGCAATTATAAATAAATAGTATTTATTTATTTTTATTTATTTATTTATTTATTTTTGAGGTAGAGTTTCACTCTTGTTGCCCAGGCTGGAGTGCAGTGGCACGATCTCGGCTCACCACAACCTCCGCCTCCCGGGTTCAAACGATTCTCCTGCCTCAGCCTCCCGAGAAGCTGGGACTACAGGCGCCCACCACCATGCCCAGCTAATCTTTGTTTTTTTTTTTTTTAAATGGAGTCTTGCTCTGTCACCCAGGCTGGAGTGCAGTGGCCAGATCTTAGCTCCCTGCAACCTCTGCCTCCCGGGTTCAAGCTATTCTCCTGCATCAGCCTTCCGAGTAACTGGGATTACAGGCACCCACCACCATGCCCACGCTCAGCTAATTTTTGTATTTTTTAGTAGAGACAGGGTTTCACCATGTTGGCCAGGCTAGTCTCAAACTCCTGACCTTGTGATCCACCCGCCTCCGCCTCCCAAAGTGCTGGGATTAGAGGTGTGAGCCACCGAGCCCGGCCAATTTTTGTATTTTTAGTAGAGACGGGGTTTCACCATGTTGGTCAGGCCAGTCTCAAACTCCTGACCTCAGGTGATCCATCCTTCTCGACCTCCCAAAGTGCTTGGATTACAGGCATGATCCACTGCACCTAGGCTAAAATAAATAATATTTTAAAATAAAGTGTTTGAAAGGCTTTGAAAGTAATAATTGGACATTAAAGAAAAATTAGAATCAGTGCATGGTGGCTCATGCCTGTAATCCTAGCCCTTTGGGAGGTCAAGGTGGGCGGATCATTTGAGGCCAGGAGTCAAGACCAACTGGGCAACAGAACAACATAGTGAGACCCCATAGCTACAAAAATTTTTTTAAAAAATTAGCTGGGCATGGTAGTGCATGACTGTAGTCCCAGCTACCCAGGAAGCTGAGGCAGGAGGATCACTTGAGGCTAGGAATTTGAGGCTATAGTGAACTATAATCATACCACTGCACTCCAGCCTGGGCAACAAAGCAAGAGAGGCTGAGGCAGGAGAATGGCGTGAATCCGGGAGGCAGAGCTTGCAGTGAGCCAAGATCATGCCACTGCACTCCAGCCTGGGCGACAGAGTGAGACTCCGTCTCAAAAAAAAAAAAAGTTATTCATATTTTGATTTCTCAGACCCAAACATATTGAAATTTTGCTATATATTTTTCTTCCAGTCTTTCTGTTCTGATTTGTGTCAGTTTTCTTTGGTTTGTTGGTTTGTAGTGTTTACTTCTTTAGCGTGGTCATGATAATACTTGTGTTGTGAATCCAGTGGCAAGCCATGTCTGAAGGTAAAGCCTTTTCAGTGGAATATTTTGTTTTTAATGAGTTATTTCTCTATCTAGGATAATGGATCATGATGTTCATGCTTTTGAGCTTCGTTCAGAAGCTACTGTGTAAGACAAGCACTTCTTGGAGCTACCAAAACCCTGGAATTACCCCTTTTAGACAGCAATTTTTTTAATGTCTTGGGTTCAAGGCCCTGAACAGGATAGTCTTGATCACTGAAATTATAATGATTATATTTTGCTCACTGCATTTGTCTGCTTACATACACTTTTTGTTAGCAAATGCATTTCCTCTTGGATGTTATCTGACTGTGTTTTGTTTTTTATTTATTGATTAATCAACTGATTGATTGAGACAGGGTCTCACTTGGTTGCCCAGGCTGGAGTTCAGTGACTCCATCGTAGCTCACTCACTGCAGCCTCTTCTGTTCCCACGTGGCCGGGACTACAGGCACAGCTAATTAAAAAAAAAATTTTTTTAGCGACAGAGGCTTGCTGTGTTGTCCAGGCTGGTCTCAAACTCCTGGGCCTCTAGTAGCACTGGGATTACAGGAATGAGCCACTGTGCCCAGGCTGTCTGCCATTTGCAGGCTAATTTTTTTTTTTTTTGCCAACATTTCCCATTTGCCAAACTCAAAATGTTTTTCTCTGTTCCATCTTTGTTCAGTCAATCCTGCAGAACCTCGACTCGCGGGGCCAGTCCATCTTCAGTACCATCCACACCTATGGCCTCTATGTGAACTTCAAGAACTTTGTCTGCAACATCGGGGAAGATGCAGAGTTGTTTATGGCCCTCTATGACCCAGACCAGTCCACTTTTATCAGGTAGCAGAGACCCAGATCCCCTGCTGCTGACCTAGCAAAGATACCCAGCCTTCCCCGACCCCTACCCGGGCAGCTCTTTGCCAGATTTGAGAAGAGAAAATAGGGAAGCAGGGAAGATTTCTAAGCAGTAGAATGTAAAATCATATGGGCTGTGAAGCCTTCATATGTCACTACTGGAACAATGTGGCCAGTTTGTATACTCCCTGGGATTTAGAGATCACATAAAACTCATTAGGACTTGGAGATGGGAACAAAGAATTCAAGATGCTGCATGGGAAGGTGAGGGAGGGATAAATAGGCAGGGCACAGAGGATTTTTAGAGCAACGACACTATTCTGTATGATGCTATGGTGGTGGATGCATGCCATTATGAATTTGTGTAAATGCACAGGACGTTGGACACCAAGAGGGAACCCTTATGTAAACTGTGGACTTTGGGTAAATGATGTGTCAATGTAGCTTCATCAGTTTTAACTAATGTTACTACTCTGGTCAGGAGAATGCTGATAGCAAAGGAAGTTGTGTCTGAGGGGAGAGAATATGTTATGGGACTCTGTTTTCAGCTCAACTTTGCTGCAAAGCCAAAACTGCTCTAAGAAAATAATGTCTATTAAGAAAAAACTTTTTTAAGACTCTAAGGAGTGCAGTGGGCACTGTTCAGCTCTACAGTGGCACTACTGTTTATCAGCTAAGAAAATGGAGAATTTATTTTTGAGAAGATAGTGAAAAGTAATTGCTTACAATTGTTTCTTTAAAATATATATATTTTTAAATATCATAATGTGAATTACAGGGGATAGATTTGGAATGACTGTTATAAAATTAAATTCTTTTTTTATTTTTTATTTTTTGAGACAGAGTTTAGCTCTTGTCTTCCAGGCTGGAGTGCAATGGCACAATCTCAGCTCATTGTAACCTCCGCCTCCCAGGTCCAAGTGATTCTCCAGCCTCAGCCTCCCAAGTAGCTGGGATTACAGGCACCTGCCACCATGCCCCGCGAATTTTTGTATTTTTAGTAGAGATGGGGTTTCACCATATTGGCCAGCCTGGTCTCGAACTCCTGACCTCAGGCGATCCACCCGCTTTGGCCTCCCAAAGTGCTGGGAATACAGGCATGAGCCACTGTGCCCCACCTAAAATTAAATTATTAATTCAGCAAAGCTGAAACTTCTATTCAAAGATTTTGAGATGGAAGGACAACCCGGACTACAGCATCCCATAAGCTGTACCATGTGTGTGCCCGTCAGGAGCAGTGGGTGTCCTGTATCTGTGCGGGGCATGCCTTGCAGAGCCACAGCAGGGACGCTTCTCTAATGCCAGGACACCCGGTGGTGGCCATCTGTGTGGTCCCAGTTCCCAACTCAGCTCTTTTCACACTGGCCTGTTGAATTTCACTGAGCATTTCTGGCCCTTCCTCCTTCCCTTGTAAGTCTGTTAGCCTCTCATTAAGAGTAATTTGTTTTCCTTTGCCAGTGAGAACTATCTAATTCGTTGGGGCAGTAACGGGATGCCTAAGGAAATAGAGAAGCTCAATAACCTCCAAGCAGTGTTTACTGTAAGTCCTCCCTTCTGTTTAATCATTCTCTTTGTTTATGATATGAACATATTCACATAATGAATATGTGGGAAACATACAAAATGAAAAGGTTAAAGGAAAAATCATCAATCCCCCAGCAGGAATAACCCACCCATTTATTCAACATGTACTTCAATGCCAGGCACTGATTTAGACACTTGAGAGATATCCATGAAAAATCAGGGGGAAAAAGCAGTTTTTGTCCTGATGGGTAAGACAGATAATAAACGATAATCAATCCAGGCACAGGGACCCAGGCCTGTAACAATTCCAGCACTTTGGGAGGCTGAGGTGGGAGGATCATGTGAGCTCAGGAGTTTGAGACCAGTCTGTGCAACATGGTAAAACCCTGTCACTACTAAAGAATTTGAAAAAGGAAAAATGACCTCAAAGTAGAAGAGGAGTGATGCTGCCAATTCGGATATGCCAAAGAGAAGCGTGCTTCCTTTAAGTGAAAAGGTAAAACTTTATAAGTATGTATGTATAGGAAAAAGCAGCACATATAGAGTTCGGTACTGTCTTTGGTTTCAGGTATCCACCGGGGGTCTCGGAGCATATTCATCACAGGCAAGGGGGGACTACTCTGTCAATGCGCCACAGTACATGTAACTAGTCACCTGGAGTCTTTATTTTTCCATTAACAGAAGCCTTGCAGACCTAGAGTAGAAATGCAGGGTGGACGTTATCATTGATGGATATCTTGGAGACCTGAGTTAACTAAATTACAGAGGCTGGATTTGGAATGATTATGTTAAAAGTGATTCTTGCTTTGGTAGAGAGAGCTTGGGCAGCTGTTTCATATAACCAATTTGAGATGTGATTAATTTTTTTTCTGAAGTTGAATTGAATGAGAGTTATCAGCTCATTCCTGGGTTTACTCACCCATCCTTAAGAATACAAATAATGGCCGGGCGTGGTGGCTCATGTCTATAATCCCAGTACTTTGGGAGGCTGAGGCAGCTGGATGCCTTGAGCCCAGACGTTCAAAGCCAGCTTTGATAACATAGGGAGACCTTATCAAA